CGATATCTTGACGCACTTCCGTGAGGCCTCCTGGAGCACCAACTGCTGATATGCGTCTCTGAAGTCGAGCTTTGTGAATTTCTGGCCACCAGACAAAGCCGGCCATAGATCTTCAATCTGAGGCAGGGGGTACTTTGCAACGGTAGCGACGGGGTTGATCGCAACCTTGAAATCTCCGCAGATTCTGACACTACCATCTCGCTTCCGAACTGGAACAAAGGGAGCCGACCACTCAGCAGTCTTGACTGGTACGAGGATGCCTTCTCCCTGTAATTGTTGCAGCTCCTGGGTGACCCCGGCGTTTAGCGTGAATGGCAGCGGGCGAGGCTTGAAAAACGGAGGCCGGACTCCCACGAGTACATGAATGCCAGCAGTCGTTCCGGCGAATGTGCCCACCGCAGGCTTGAACAGTGACTGGAACTCTGTTAGGAGGCTCGGGATGTCTTATACGCCATGTAGGACTGCTTCCTGGACATGGCCTTCTGGCAGCCGAATACCCAGTGCCCAAATCCAATTCCTGTCGAGCTGCGACGGTGACGACCCCGTACTCAAATAAAGAGGAAGGGTTGTTTCCCTGTTGCCAAAACGAACGCTGACCTGGGCCTGGCCTTGTACCTAAAAAAACTCTCCCGAGTAACTCCACAGCATGACCCCTCAAGCCTCGACCGCCACTCCGGGGAAGGTCCTTTTGAAAAGTTTGCCAGCCATGACCGACACACTGACTCCCATGTCCAGTTTCATGGAAATGGGGCGCCCGCAAACTTTAATGGTTAGTAGGTACGGCGGCACAGACGACGGGCCAAGGCCTGTGTGCCACATGTGGAAAATAGGCGGGTCCGCGGTCATGACGTTGAGCTTGGCCACAAAGGAACCTAACTGAGCCTGCTGCTGCACTTCCCCGCCGCCACTTGCGATGCCTATTGTGATCGCAGGCTGGTGGGTAACCTGGGCTCGACCTAGGCTGCTGCTGTGGTCCGCTGTTCTGCTTCTCCGTTCGGCATACTGGTGCAAGCTGCCCAGTTTTTCTGCACGTGAAGCACTGCAAATTTATGAACTGGCACTGTGAGGGGGAATGGGCTTCACCGCAGCGACTGCATCTACCGCCTCTTGCCACCATCTTGTTGACCGCTGCTTCCATTGATGCGGCACACGCAATCTCGCCGGCATCTTTTGTCGCCGTGTCCATCGCCAGTGCTGCTCTCACCACGTCATCCAGCGAGGGGTCAGGAAGTTTCAGGGGACCTGTCTGCATGGCGAGGTTGTTTATGCCTCAGACGAAATGGTCCCGTAGCAGCGGGTCCCCGAAAGCGCAGCTACTCGCCAAATCTCATAGCACAGCGACGAACTGCCCGAGGCTCTCCCCTTCCCGGCGCCTCCGGTTGTTGAAACGGAAATGCCCCATTAGCGTGGACGACGCCAGACTGAAGTGTGAGCGCAGTGTAGTGAGCAACTCACTGAGCAGCTTGGTATGCGGTGTAGCCGGTTTTAAGGGGTCGAGCAGGAGACTGAAGACTTGGGTTCCGCAACTTGCCAGGAAAATGTCCCGGTGTTTCTCCTCGGGCATGTTGTTAGCGCAGAAGAACACGTGAACTTGCTCCCCGTCTCCCTCAAACGGCTCGAGCCTTCCGTACTGCGGCATGGTGTCAGATACAGGGGTGGAGGGGGAGCGTTGCTTTGCTGCTTTCAATGGCATAGGCGGACTTGTTGACTGCACTTGTCGCCAGTGTCATGATCTGCCCTGAAGATCGTGAATGAAAAGGAGGGCCGAGGCGCCGCTCTCTAACAAGGACGACCCCATACGCGTAGTGGAATAACAGCTACTGACTGCTGAGCAGCGCTCGTTAGTGTTTATTATCCAAGCACGCCCCACTTGCCGAACTTGTCGAGATAATGAAACTAGGCTAGGCAGGGTTCCACACGCTCGTTACAGCTTTATTGTAACATCAAATGACCTAGGCCTTTAGAAAATGCCATGCATTGTTTGCTAACAAAAGTGGCCCTGTACTGCCGTGTCAACAGAAAACCACTCTCAGTGCTTCAGAACGCTTAGTGATTACCTAGATCTTTTGATGTTATTCTATATAGTCCTTGCATGTGTCAAATGATGACGTTATGTTGTTTCACAAAGGATCTCTAATTTCATCATCCTCAGCCTGACTATGCCCACTGCAGAAAAATGGCCTTCCCCATGTTCCGCCAGTCAACTCGATCCTGTGCTTGCTGCTGCCACTTTGTACCCGCAAACTTCCTAATGTCATCTTCCCACTTAACGCTCTGTATCCCCTTCACCCACTTGCCTTCTCTAGGAATCCAGTATGTGATCCTTCATGATCAGCGATTATTTTGCCTTTGCGCTACATGCCCGGCCCATGATCATTTCTTTTTGATTTTGATTATGATGGCCTTAACACCCATTTGTTCCCTGATACACTCTGCTTTGTTTTTGTCCCTTAGGGTAACACCTATCATTTTCCTTTCTATTGTTTGCTGCATCGTCCTCAGCTGAAGTTGAACCCTCTTTGTAATCCTTTAGGTTTTGGCTCCATAGGTAAGTGTCGGTAAGATGCAGCTGTTATATACCTTTCTCTTGAGGGATAGTGGCAATCTTGCCATTGATGATTTGAGAATGCTTGCCGAATGTGCTCTGCCCTACTTTTATTCTTCTAGTTAATCTCATGAATGGGCTCTGCGGTTACCACCTCTCCATAGTAGACGTACTCTTTTAAAACTTCAAGTACACTGCTACCTATCTTGACTCACTGTTCTCTTGTGATGTAGTAGTACATTGGTTTGATTTCCTGCAAATTAACTTTAAGACCTATCTTTCTGCTGTCCTCATCTAATTCAGTAATTATGAATTGCAGTTTATCTCCTGAGGTACTAGGCAATGCTATGTCATTGGCGAAGCGCAGTTGACTAAGGAACTCCTCATTAACTTGTATCCCCAACTCTTTCCATTCTCGGTCTCGGAAAACCTCCTGTAAGCACGCAGTAAATAGCGTTGGGGAGATCGTAGCCCCTTGTTTTAGACCCGTCTTTATTGGTATTCTATCGCTTTCCTTATGGAGCACTATGGTGGTCATTGATTCGCTGTAGATTTCTTCAAAGCTGTTTATATATGCTTCGTCGACGCCCTGATTCTGCAATGTCTGCATGATTGCTGATATCTTTACTCAGGCAAATGCCTTTATCGTAATCCATAAAGGCTATGTATAGGGGCTGGGTGTATTTTGAGCATTTCTCTCTCTCCTGACTGATAGTATGAATGTGGTTGATTGTGCAGTAAGTAGCCTGTACCTGCTTGGTTTTTTGGTTGATTGAATTTTAATGTCATCCTAATTCTGTTAGTAACAGTTAGCAAATACCTTTGTAAACAGCGTGTTTACGCAGAGAGCAAGCTGATTGGCCTGTGATTCTCTGAGTCCTGGTCATCCCCTTTCTTATGCATTAAGATGATGTTAGCATTCTTCTAAGATTCTGATACCCTCCTCGTCTGGAGATGGTTTGTGAACAGGGTAGCCAGTTTTTCTAACACAATCTGTCCTTTGTCTTTCAGCAGATCTGATGTTACCTGATTCTCACCAGCTGCTTTGCCTCTTTGCATTCCCTACAAGGCTTTCCTGACTTCTTGTGCCATTACTGGTTAGATGTCATCTGGGTTGCTGCTAGTTCTTATATTACAGTCGTGGTTGTCCCGGCTACTCTACTGATCTCTGTAAAACTACTCTGCTATTTTAGTCATCCTAATAATATTGGTAATTACTCTGCCTTCCTTGTCCTTAAGTGCATACATCTGTTTTTTTTCTATCCCAAGTTTCCTCTTACTCCATTTATTAGAGCATGTTCAAATCTCTCCATGTTATACCTTATGACACTGGATGCTTTACACTTATTAATCAACTTCGACAGCTCTGCCAGTTCTATTTTTTTCTATTGTGTTTCAGGCTTTCATGCTTTGACGCTTCTTAATGAGATTCTTCGTTTCCTGGGACAGCTTGCTAGTGTCCTGTCTAACTACCATACCTTTAATTTCTACTGCACACTCCGTAATGCTACTCGTCAGATTATCATTCATTGCATCAACACTAAGGGTGGTTTCCTCAATAAGAGCCGAGAATCTGCTCTGAAGCAAGACTCTGAATTCCTGTACTTTCCCTCTCAGTGCTAGCTCACTGACTGGCTTCTTGCGTATCAGTTTCTGTTGTTCCTTCTTCAAGTCTAGGTGAATTCAAGACCGAACCATTCTATGGTCACTGCATTGTACCTTGCCAACTACTTCCACATCCTGCACGATGCCTGGGTGTGCACTCAGTTATAAAGTCTATTTTGTTCTTACTGTACCAGAGCATAGTGGCGCCAGCTCCGTGCCAGCGTGAAAGAAGACGTAGACGTCCGTGTGGCTCGTGCTTGCTGGGTTCCTGCTTGAACCAGCTTGTTGCGGCTGACGCTTCTTCAATCATAACAAGTGTTTATACGTGAACCCTCACATTGCATTACTTTTTTTAATAGAGCTCCCTCATGTCCTCTTGCAGTTCACTCGTTTTCGGTAGAAAGTAGTCAAGATCTGTAAATTATTGCGTTCTGCAAATTCTGATAATAACTTCCTGCTGGCATTTCTAGTACCGATGTCATAGTCTCCTACTGCCTTGTCTCCAGCCTGCTTTTTTCCTACCTTGGCATTCAAGTCACCCATCAGTATAGTGTACTGTGTTTTTACCATACTCATTGCCGATTGCACGTCTTCATGGAAGCTTTCTATGAATACGTCAATATGGCTGGACGTAAGTGCATAGTCCTGTATCGCCTTCATCTTGTATCTCTTAAGTTTAATCGTGATACCTGCCACCTTTTCAATAATACTTTGTTATAGTGAGGTCTGAGTGTAAATTGAATATAAAGTTTTCTGGAGCAAGAATCTGATAATTTTTTGAATGATCTTTGAGAAAAAGATTGACACCAATGAGAAGAAGCTTTAAAAAACAAAATAAACTTATTTGCAGGTAACGCCACTGGTGTCCGGGCTCCCATTGGCTGTTGTCACATTCACTGTCAGTTGAGCCTCTCAATCATGGCTGTGTCGCCGAGGTATCTCGTTCTGTTCCTGTCATTGTGCGCACTCGCCAGTGCCTTTGGTGCGGCAGACGACTTCGACAAGGGGAACCCCTGTGGCTGCGTCAACCGGACCGTGGTCGAAGGCGAACACCACTGGGTCTGCACGGGTGATGGGGAGTTGATGCAGCTGCACGCATGCTTCGTCCACTCGCCGGAGAAGGCACCCCACGGCTTGACACTTCGAAATGTGAGCGCCCCCGACCTCGCGCTGGGATCGATCAGCTTTGTGGCCCAGCTGGAGTCTCTTTCGCTGCACGAGTGTCGCTTCAAGGGGCTAAACTTGGAGGGAGCCAGTCGCCTGACGTCCCTGAACTTGGCATTCAATCGGCTGCGGACTGTCGACAAGGTGAGAATCGTCGCCGGGATGTTTTCACGCCACAGCTGTTCTAGCGCTGGCCCTGACAACCTATTTCACTCAAACTTTTGTATAAGGAATTTTTGGTTATAACAAAGTAAGTGAAAAATATATCTGTCTTAGATAGAGTGCTACACATATACCTATCTTTATATTGAATCTTGAGATATAACAAATTATTTTTGTGGCAGGTGTGACTTGTCATAATGAAGTTTGAGTGTAGTGTTTACAATATGGTGTTCCGGTTCTGAAACAGTTACATCAATAGATGGTGTAACTGCATTAGTCGGGGATGAAGCAGTAATCACAAGGGAAACAAAGGAGAACCGCAGCTGCACTGTATTTGCAGGTTTCAAACTCGGTGGAACAGGGGTGATTCTGGTTCATGGTGCATTGTGAACCAGGATGAGATCATGCAGAAAGGTGTTTTTGTGGCAAGTGTGACTGTTAAAATGAGATTTGAGACTAATAGAGACACGAAGGCTAGTGTGAGAGTTGAGTTCTGCAATCAACGGGACATTCTGGAATTCTATTATTTATGATAATAACACTGTACTCGCGCTTTGATAGTAGTGCACAACCTAACAATGAAAAGAGTGGAGTTTTCAGCTTGAATATTAGAAAGGTGAAGTGAGCAAAGATATGGGAAAATACTGTACAATAATAATTTGTAAACTAAGATACTATACAACAGCTGACATTAAATGAACTCAGTACAATCTCTTGCCCAAAGTCTGCAAAGCAGGAGTGATCGAAATCGCTCCGAGAGCCATTGCTTCTTCAGTAGATCTGATTGGCTGACTATCATGACAGCCCAAAGGCTCCCTCAAATGATTTTAGACTGTTTCACTTGCAAAATGAGCGTGTTAAGTAAGTCCAAAGGATCATTAACACATAATTTCAGCTTTTTGCGTAATCTGTGTCATTCTTAACAAGGTCGTGAATTTGTGAATTAAGGGGGGACGTGGGTTCTAAATCTTTTTAAAATTCTTTGCTCAATCTTAACCAAACTTCACTACCTAAGCTAGTTTTCCATGCTGATTTCAAATATCTAGTTTGTTTCTTAATATTTCATGTGGTTTAGAAAATATGAAGGCCTGAATCATAATTAATTGCGTACTTCTTACGGGACTTCTTGGCAATTTATTCTTGCTAAGTCCAAAAAGTGAATGCATAATCCCAATGCTGGAGACTTGCTGTAGGGGGTGATGCTATTTTTATCCATTTGAAGGCATTTTATGAGCAAGAAAACGGACGAATACTTATGGTCACTATACTACAATAAATTTCTCTCGCCTAATTCTTCAATGGTAATTTTTGAAGTGATGTTAAAGAAATAGAAATAGCATCACCCTCTAGATCATGTCAAGAAGAATAAAATGATACCAACTTTGTCGCATTCACTCAAGTTTAACATAGGAAAAACCCCCATAAGGCCGAGTGCAATATGCAAAAACATAGAACTGAGAAAAATGCGTTTGAAGTTTCTAGCAACCTTAACTTTTGCTAAAGTGAAGCTACAGCGATATTAATGACATCATTCTGTAGCTATATATTATAGGATAAATGGCCATGCTAAATTTCACTGTACCCACCCAGAATACTACTCACAGCTTGTTCTAGAACTATAAAATAGTCATTGACTCAGCATGAGCTTTATTATTTTTTTACTTTGTGGTCGTTCCAGTGCCTTGCAAGTGAAAGGAACACAAAAAAATCATGTAATAACGTTGTCCTTGGATAGACAATAGATTTACACAATGTTTAGGTCTAAAACCAAGAATATTTAATTTTGCAAAAATTCTCACTATTTGCCATCATGACTACTTACAGCAGACCAGGGCTGTAAGCAGAGTCCCCTGCTGTCTTGTGACACTTTGAAAGTCTTTCCTTTATTGAACTGCTGTCGAGAGGCTCTCTTCGCGATTTTTGCAGCCTGCCGTTGTCCTTCTCAAGGTTGCGACCCACCAAGTTATTGCCAGCGCTGTAGCCCAGCTTCTCGGCAATTTTCACGTTGCTCTTGGTTGTGCCTTGGTTGAAGCGGCTGATGGCTTCGGCAACTGCCCTTTCAATGCTCCGCAAGGATGCATGCCGAGTTTTGGGGGCCTGCTGCCAAATCATAGCGTGCAGGCTCTCACTTGGGTTCTGGGTGATCCCATCGCTGCACCTTTGCAAGAGGGCATTGTCGCTCAGCCGCCTAAACACAGGCTCCAATGCCTCAGTTACGAAATCAGGCAGGCTGTCCTTCTGTGGTGGCGGCTTCTCATTTTTTCGCAAGAGCTCTCTGAAATTTGCACGAGGATTCAGGGCCTTCAGGGCAAAGGCCATGCTTTGGTGCCTCGTCAGGTGAAAACATGTGGTTCAAAGTTGCTAGAACAGCATTCTGCATACCTGGAACATCGTTCCTGTGGCTTTTCAATGTGTAGCCATAGTATGAAGTGATCTTCTTTATCTTTTGTTGCGTAAGTCTGCCCTTTGCACCAAGTGAGCCACCTTGAGCTTTTTTTTTCTCTACAAGGGTACGTAAGGCAGCTCCCATACGCTTGTGTACATGATTTATGCAGTCCTTTTTGGCCACCTTTATGAAGCCAAACACCGCTTTTTCTGTGAGTGCATGGAATGTCCTGCTGTCGTCGTCCGACAGCATTGTCGTATAACGAAGCTTGTGCTTTTCAAGTGACCGCTCAAACAAGCGTAGTGCTGCCTCCACTTCCATCTGGCCAGCATTACACTCAACATTCTTCTGGCATAGAGGGGCATGCTGAATGAGCCAGGCAGAATGTCCTGCTTCTCCTTCCTTGGGTCCTGTGGTGCAAGCCAGGCAAAAGTTAATTGGAAATGCAGTCGCATTATTGCATTGCTTAAGCCGGGGAAGTGTCCTTATGCACTTTCCTCCTACAGACCGATCGCCTTATCCAGCTGTGTCGGAAAAGTGATGGAAAGAATGGTGCTGTCAAGATTAGAGTGGCTTCTAGAAAGCAACAACTCCTTTCCTGCATTTATGAACAGCTTCAGAAGAGGCCGATCTGCCATTGATGGTGTGGTCGACTTGATCACCAGCGTTGAAGAGGAAAGAAGCCGACGCAGACTAGTGGCGGCGGTCTTCTTAGACATTAAGGGTGCCTACGATAATGTGCTGCATTATGCGATCCTTGACGCACTGGAAGATTTCGACATCGGTGGACGACTGTACGCTTGGATTTTTAGCTACCTTAGGGACCGCACCATTTAGATGACGACAAATAACGGAGACACCAATCGATATAAGGTTCATCGTGGTGTTCCCAAAGGAGGAGTTCTCAGCCCGATCCTATTCAATGTCACAATGATCGGCCTAGCAGCAGAACTTCCCAGCACGGTGAAGATCAGTGCATACGCTGATGACATATGCATATGGGCATCCGGAACTACTATTCCGCAATTACGAGCTCGACTACACCGTGCAGTGACGATCACATACAAATATCTACGATGTCAGGGGCTCACTCTTTCAATAGACAAATGCGCAGTGCTTGCGCTCACGCGCAAGCATATGTCGAAATACCCGATAGTTATTAATGGGACAGCAATACCTGCTGTAACGCACCACAAGTTCCTTGGGGTTGTCGTACACAGAGATCTATCGTGGACGAGGCATGTCGCAGTACGTAAATCTAAATTGAAGAGCTTTGCTCTCGTTCTTCGCCACGTAGCAGGAGCAAGATGGGGCCCGTCAAAATCATCGCTACTTCAATTGTACAATGCTCTATTTGTGGGATACATTCGATACAGCATGCCGGTGCTCTCCAATATGAGACCTAGTTGTGTGAAGACGATAGCGAGTGTTCAAGCTCAATGCTTACGAAGATGCTTGGGTCTACCACGCTGTACTTCAACAAATGGGACAATCGCAGAAGCTCGGGCTTGTCCCATCAGTGTATACATGCTCTGCGAGCCACTTAGAGTTCACCTCCGATTGCTGAGCAGACACAGACAGCACCCACTGTCAGTACTACCCGCCACTCACCCAGATTGCAGTTTCTCAAGAGTAATATCGCGGCATGAAAACATTATACCATCAAGGTTTTCTCCGCCAAATGCCCCTGCAGTGCCTCCATGGGTCCTGCCTAAACCACCTGTTTCTTTTACGATACCTGGAATCAGGAAGAAGTCGCTCATTTCTTCTGTTGGCCTCAGACAACTGACCCTATATCACATTTATACAAAGTACAGTGATTCTCTGCACTTGTACACCGACGGATCCACCACGCTAAATACCTCCGCCGCAGCCTTTGTCATCCCAGACATGGATATTGCTCGATGATTCAAAGTGGACCATAAAACCACATCAACTGCCGCAGAGCTTGTCGCTATCCGGGAGGCAATAAGATTTATTTCCGGAGAGCGACCTGGAGCCTGGACAATTTTCTGTGATGCCAAACCCGCTTTGCGAACCATTAATTGCATCATGAAGCAAGGTCCGTATTAAAGCTTGGCAATAGAAATCGCAGAACTTATTCAGGTTGCTTCAACAAATGGTCATCTTATAACTTTCCAGTGGATTCCTGCTGATTGCGGCGTGATGGGAAACGAAGAGGCAGACGCTGAAGCTAAAAATGCCTTGAGCAGTGCCCCTGAAGTACGCATTGCGTTTTCACGAGCTAACACGAATGCCCTGCTTCGCTGCGTGATGCGCAGCTACACACTTCAGCACTGGACCAAACCGGAACAGTGACACCAGCGACTTCACAAACGGGACCCGGAAATGAGGTTCCGCATGCCCCCTAAATTGAAACGGCAACTCACAAGTATGATCCACCGCATTCGTCTTGGTGTAGCATACACCAGACGTTCACACATATCATCGGTCGCAGTGACACCGGTCCTAATTGTGAGCACTGTGATGTGCCAGAAACACTTGAGCACATATTTTGTGTCTGCCCAGCATACGCACGTGAACCACAAACACTGATTTCTTCTACTGAACTATATCGCAGTATGTCATTAACTGATGAGACCATGTTGGGGCCTTGGCCAGACACCAACAGTGTAACTGTGGTCACAAGAGCAGTTATAACCTTTTTGGAAACAACTGGACTATGTGCGCGGCTATGAAATGTGTCTCAGCTAGAAAGAACACTACATACTCACCTCTCTATCTCACCATCGTCATCCATTAATCTTTCTTTTTCCCTTCCCCCAGTGTAGAGTAGCAGGCTAGAGCAAGCTATCGCTCAGGCTGACCTCTCTGCCTTTCTGTAAATAAACTTACCTCCTCCTCCCAGGCAAAAGTTCGATAGCACGATATGGTCTATCACGAGGCCACTATACATCTCAACAATGCAGCCAACACATATATGCGAGCTATGTCCACGCGCAAGCCAGGTGCCGTCATAAATGACGTCGACGTTTCCGGGTGCGTTGCCGAACTCCGCATGGAGCTCCTTGATGAGAGCAACGCTCGCCGCTTCGCATTCGGCAGCAGTCGCACAGCAGGCGTCTTTCATTATATTCATGTGGCTTTGGTAACTCTTGTGGTGAAGCCCTCGATGCAAAATATTCATCCCGGCGAAGAAGTTCGACAGAGCCGTTGCCCCCTTGCCGATACTGTTGATGGCCTTCATGGCACGCATATTAACCTCAAACGACCTTATTTTGGCGTCGGTCTCGTCGGCTATACATGGGGATGAAAAACGCTCTTCGCGAAAGTCACAACTGTCGCACTTGACTATGAGCTTCGAACACAGCCCGTACTCTTTCTTGGCTTTTGAAATAGTGACACTTCTTTCACCGCATTCTGGGCACGCGACAAGTCCAAATAACGAGCGTATCGCCGCCAGATCAACAATAACAAATTATGTCCCGTTTTCTTTGCCACCATCTTCCAGATCAATATCTAGTAACTCGAACTTATGTTCCGTCGCGCACTGCGATGCGAGTGATGCCTTCCGCTGCATTTCTCGCGCACTCAGCAAACTCGTCCGCCGAATAAAACGCCGTGTCAATGCGGTCTAAGATGCTGCTGGAAGTGCAAGATGACGATCTGACGACGACACAATCCGTTGAGGTCCTGCTGCAAGGCACAGGAGAGTGCACCGCTTCGGACACAAGCGGCCGCGGCTGCGTGCCGTCGTCGGAATGCGCCGCTTCCGCGGCGTCGGGCGAAATCGGCTGCACGTTGTCGGCTGCTTTCTTCTAGCGGGCGTTCCACGGGCGCCTCCGTTTCTTGCCGTACGCTTGGCGCTTCTTCTTCTTTAGACGAGCGTCTCCAGTCATGCCGGCAAAAGACGGAAAGTCTGTGTGCCGGTCGCGTAGCACAAGCAGGCATGTGCGGGAAGCAGACGAACAATGTGCGCGAACGGGAACCGGCGGCCGATGAACAATATGCAAAAAAAAAGCGCGGGCAACTTTGGCCGCATCAGTCAATGGAAAGCGAGGAACAAGGGGCTCGCCTGGTGCGCGTGTGCTCCGGCTAATCAGCGGCCTGGAAGGGGGCTCCGGAAAAGGGGCGAGGGCAGCCAATCTGCTTAAGCGACGCCATTTTGAAGGGTGACAAAATGCGCAGAAAGGAATCAGCTTCCAAACAAGCCCGAGATGGTGGGGATCGGCTGACTGCCTCGCCGGCGGCGCGCGCGGGAAGTTTGAATGAATTTGACCTGCCGTGGGTTGTTTTGCGGCTCCCGTGGCGACTTCATAACCAATTTTAATCCATTTACTGATCGAATTCAGCGTTCACAATTTGAGGACACGTACTTATAGGTCTAAAAATTTCAAACATCGCATTTTCTCAAAATCGACTTTTTGGCCATTTTTCACCATTCTAAGACCCGCGTCCCGCCTTAATGCATACTCACAGCGGCTCTTCTAAACCAGTTCAAAGCGCACTACCATGGGACTTGAATACATGTTTTTATGCCAGTGATTTCGATAAGCAGTTTTGGGGACCTAATTTGGAACAAATGATGTTTATAACCATTTAACATTTTATAACTTTTTTTTTTAAATGGAGACACCAACTGCAAGTGAATACACAAGCACAGTTTAGCACTAGACTTTTGGACTTCTGGTGGATAGCAAACATCACCTGCCGGTGACACAATGTGCTCTATCTTGATGTGAGCTACGCGACCAGTTCGTATGTGAAGGTTTCTTTTTGCTAACGTTATGAATAATCCTTGTCCCACTGTATATGCAAGTATAGTAATTGGTGCTATGTTTAGGTACAGTCCAGTGGGTGTTCCATAATAAAGTTGGGTACAGCGACGTCAATGACAAGGTTACAGAAGAAAATAGTGCTGATGAGGGCTGTCTTCAGCATTCTTTATGTCTCGTTGTCTTTGTACGCACTGTACAATAGTTTACAATAATGATTGGTGACATGAAGCTTCCAAATTGTGTCTCAGTGCAAGGCAACCAGTGAACCTAGTCACTTCCGCGGAATTGTACCACGAGTTTCAGGTTTTCTCTGTCCAGCCAACGTCACGATCCACGTTCCTGCAGCCTCATCTTCATCCCGAAGACATGGTCACAGTGCTCATATTTTTGCTTATTCGTAATCATCTCATGTAGTTTTCATTTTTCTGCATACTTCTTACCGCTTGTAGACTGTTGGCATACTGGAGAATGGAAAGTGAGCACCGGCAGGTATACAGGTGACTCAAAACTCAAGCACTCGCAAGAAGGTGCTGGCATTCACGATTAGCTGTGGCGCACGGTCAGAGTTGATTGCGATCGCCATGCATCAGAAGCATAGCTTGACCCGTCAAGTGTGCTGCCTTTGCTAGCAATGGCTCGTAAGGTCGACAAGTGAAGAAGGGAAGACAGTGTACTAAAGGAGCAAATCATTGAATTGGCCACAACTGCCTTGATGCAAGTTTCATCGCTTTATCTACGGTGCGAATTATAAAAAAACGTGGCCAGAACGTCAACAGAATTGAAAAAAAAAACAGTGATTCTGTGATCCTTGAACGGCCTTGTAACACTGAGTGAAGACTGAGAAAGAGAAGCCTTATTAATATGCTTAGTAATAACTTTATATGCTTAGTAAGCATCTAGCTTAACAAGTTATACATTTGCAGTTGCATTTCAATGCATTGGCCACTTCGATACTTGTATGTATGGAAAGACACAAAATTAATGTCAACTGACAGACAATTATGCCAAAGAGAATAGAGGAGATATTATTCAAAGTAATTGAAATGGAAATGTGAAGAAAAGAAATTGGGCGAAAAGATGACTTGCCATGGGCAGAGACCGAACCTGTGACCTTCCAATAATGCATCAGATGCTCTCCCGACTGAGCTACCTTGGCGGCTATCCTTCTGTCCACTTTATGGGGTATGTATGTGCATTTAAACATGGGAGCAGTTTAAACTCCATCTCGGTTCACGTTCATTTAGGTTGCTCTGATAGAGCACCACCTATCTCCTGTGTCAATTGCATGAGGCATGCAACTTATTTCTTTCTGGTAATCTTGGCTCGTATATCAGCTGCTTGTGTTTTATTTCATTTACACTGCCATCTTTCTATCTCTTCATGTTGTGCCTTTGATTATTCCTCGCATTGCTGGTTCGATAATCCAATACTTACGTGTCGCATTATGTGATACGTACAATATGTTGCCGGCATCACTTGAATGAACACGAAACAATTCTATGAATTTGGCAGGGTAGTTGTTTTGTTCAGTTTTGAATACTTGCTGTGATGTTCTATGTCGTTGTACTTGTGAGTGCTGTGGAAACTTCATTATAAATGGACAAGTTTCTCAAAAAAATAACCCTTGTATTTTTTAGTGAAGACAGTGTTAGGATTGCTATATGTGCCCGGATTTTTGTGCAGGCTTGGTTCACGCCCCTGGTAAATCTGAAGCAGCTCAACCTCTCGCACAACTTGCTCACCACACTGCCGGCTGACCTGACCGAAGACCTCAAGGTGCTGGACACATTGGACCTGTCGCACAACCATTTCCGGAAACTGAGCCTGTCGTGGTTTAGCACCGGTTCACCCTTGCAGCATTTGAACGTGTCGGACAACAAGTTGGAGAATGTGACGGCCTCAACGCACGAAGCATTGGCGCTCTTTGGGGAACGTCTGATGGCCCTCCGCACGCTGGACCTTTCAAGGAATCAGGTCAGAAGGGTGCTTTGTGCGTATGGGTGTCCGGAGGGGGGTGCGATGGGGAGCGGCAGTTGCCGGGCATATGTATTTAGATTTAAGCGCATGTTTGTAGAAGCACCGGTAATCAAAACTGAGTATAATATTAACATCCCATGGCGACATGTTTGATATTCATGGCACTCTAGTGTTTAGAAGGACCGACTACCAATTTTTATGGTGCCATATTTTTTTTAGCCGTATGGAAAACTTACCGGTCAGTGAGTCTAATCACGGAGAGGTGAAGTTGAAAATACTGTGAAGCATTTTCGATCAGAATTTTTCTTTCTACAGCGAATATGAAGTCGTATATTCACATCCTGCAAACAGTGAGCGCGAGCGAGAGTGGTTCGTGCCCGAGCGTAGTGGTTTACTGCACATGTGTGTACTCCATGTGCATGCGCCGTGGCTCGTCTTGGTCCACTGGCGGATGCGACAGCAGCGCCACTTTGACAAATTTGACATATTTTTCAGAGTGGACCAGATGAATGCAGAAGTATGTTAAAAACACCTACATTAGTTTACGAAATAGTTGGTGAATAATGCTAGTGCTTACACAGAATTTTCGCGAGCCCTCACAATTTTCTGACTGTAAGGAACTAAATAACGTTTGTTTTACTAAAGTTGGTTAAGTATTACAAAAGTTCCAAACCGCTCTTCAGAGTATGTTACCTTCCAACCACCCTGTCTATACAGGGCATCCCAGCGAACTTGGACCAAAATCTTTAAAAATAAGAAAAGAAGAATAAGCCATAAGCTTCACAAGAATTGTATCAAAGGCCAGGGTCGTACCCAGAAATTTCATTTGGGAGGAAGGGCACCTCTCAATTGGTCTTTTTCCACTCTCTATGCCACGGTGAAAAAAATTTTTGAGGAGGGGCGTGGGCACAGTCTCGGTCTGCCACCCCCTGTCTACTCCCTTGCCAATGGCATATTAGTGGCAGTTCTGTGTACTTGGAAACACAATTGTTTTACTACCACCAATTCAATATTTTAGCTCAAGCCTAGCAAATACATTGAATCAACCAGATTACAGTTTATAATCGTCCAGTTTTGCCATTTTAAGCCTTGTGAAACTCGGTACAAACTTCACCATTTTTGTTAGTTCATCAGACTTTTAATTACAGCTTTAATTTGTGTTGTGCCTAATATCACTTTGGAATTGGGCATTTACTATGTGCCAAAATTTCTCCCAGTTGTTCATTCTGGAAGGAAAAATAAAGCTAATATACGTAAAGCACAAAACAAATGTACATTTGTAGTGTCATACGGGTGCTCTATGGAAATGGTTTTCTCTTGCTCGTTGATGCTCCCGTATTTCATAAACTTGCTTGACCGCATTTGGTGCAGTTGCATTCGGTGCCGGGGCTGGAGGGTCTGCAAAAACTGAGGTGGCTATGGCTCCACCAGAACCTCCTCACCACTCTTCCAACGCATGCTTTTGCCAACAACACTGTGCTGGAGCACTTCTCTCTCTCTGGTGAGTTAGGCAGCGCCGGTAAACTTGATTTGACTGTATTCGCTTGGCTGTGGCCCATTGCCAAACAGCATCGTGCGATTCGATCTGCTAATCTCTCCCTCTGAATAATGGGTTACACTCAAAATACTGCCACGTTCCATTTACCAAGTTTTGTTATCGTCCCAAAACACTACACAATTCTCAAAGCAAATTAAGGGCAGAAAAAAGAAGTTGCAAAAGTCGTCGAAATGATCGTGAAAGCTTCTGTCGTTAAAGTGAATGACTGAATTATAGCCACTCAACATGAACTGATTCAGCGCAGATTAAGGGCAGACAAACAAACGAGAGCCGTGTTTGTCACAATGCTGACAAGTCTTACCTTTTTCTTTTTACCTAGTAGCTTCTCCCATGACACATAAATTTGTCAACATCCACCATGGCTTCTTATTTGACACCTAACAATGCCTTTTCAATTATATATTGTGACGGGGTCGTGACATGGCCGAAGACAGGAGACTTTGTGTTGGAATTTAACTGCTTATTTGGGCGAACCTGTGCCCGGTAAACGGAAAGTCCGATTACAGTAGCAGTCTTGGACTGATAGCGGCGAACGGAGCGTCGGTTGTCGATCAACTACTGACAAGCGGCGAAGCGCGTCGGCATTTATACTCTTGCCGTCGAATGTTCTAGCGTTATCGCTGGCGGCGGCGTAGGTTCCAGAATAATCTGTACAGTTCGCAGAGTAGGCGTGATCTTATCGAAATGATCTACTACAGTCAGGAAGCTTCTCGAAAACTGCAGGCACGGTTTGTGCTCAGAATTGTGTAGTGTTTTGGGACGATAACAAAACTTGGTAAATGGAATGTGGCATACACTCAAGCCTCATTACAGTTGCCGACCCATTTTTCGAACGTGGCGGGAACAAAAAAAAAATCCAACAGTCCGAAAAAGTTCCTTTTTGTCAAAAATATAAACTTTATTGCATCAGGCAGGCTTAAAAAGTCCATGATTCTGCCTCGCCTCATACTACGCTTGGAAACAATTTGGTTCACTCGTATTTGCGCCATGGTGACATTGCCACCGTAAATGCTTGACAAAAGTGTCACCGCGATGGCGATCTCCGCCGCCGACGGCTGCGGGTGATCATCGTCGTCATCATCCGAGCCGCTCTATGGCTGCAGCACTACCTGGCGAAGAATTTCTTTGCCTGTGGGCTCTGGGCATGAAACAATGTCATTGTCCGCACGAACGAAGTCCTTAAATGTCATCGTGGCAGGCACGTCCACTCCACCACTATGCAGGTCGCGCATTAGGTCCTCCCTGCCATCGGTGCGGTCCGGATCACCTAGGTTCAGGTCATCCACCTCGGCCTCTTCGGCAGCAACGAACCCGGCATGCCTAAAGCAATGTGCAATAGTGTTTGCTTTCACTGCCTTCCAAGCTTCGGCCAACATATGGATGGTGGCGAGCATTTCGACCTTGTAGGCCTTCCCATTGTCAAGGCACAAGACGGTGCGGCTGAGCAGATGGGCACGGTAGTGTGCATTGATGTTTCGGATCATGTTTTGTTCCATTGGCTGGAGCGCGCTTGTGGTGTTAGGCGGCGAAAATTCCAGCCCAATGGCCTCAAGGTTCGGCACACTACCGTGCGCGCCACAGTTGTCAACAAAAAATATGACTTTCCTGCATTTGCCGCACAAACTTGCGGTCAAGTTTTGCGTAGATATTTTTAAATAAAGACTGCGTAATCCACGCCTTGGAGTTACTGTCGTAGTCCACAGGAAGGGTATTCACCGGCTTAAAACACTTAGGATTTCTCGCCTTCCCGATGACAAAAAGAGGCAGTTTTTCTGTACCGGTGGCATTGGCACCTACCATTACTGTTAAGCGCTCCTTGCTAAGCTTCCTGCTGGAGCATGATTCTCCCGAAAATGCTAGCGTACGGTCCGGGAGCATCTTAAAGAAAAGTCCTGTCTTATCGCAGTTGAAGATGTCCGAAGGAGCGTATTCTTTAAGCAAGGATTTCAACTTCGTCACACGGTAATCAGACACAAGAGTCTGGTCGACCACTCCGCTTTCACCGCTCACTTTCTTGAACAGAATTCGATATCTCTTCTTGAAGCCGCAAAGCCATTTGTCAGTGAATTTAAAATCCTCAATGCCCATTTTGAGTGCGAACGAGTCGGCTTTTTCCTTCAACAAATCTCCCGACACGGGCAGGTTCTTTGTCAACACTCCTTTTAACACAACTGCAGAGCATCTTCAAGGGCTGGATGTATGCCTTTGCTGTCATTTTTCTGGCTCTTGTATGAATTCTCAAACGCTGTAAATATCTTCATTCGGTTTTTGACATAGCCGGATACCGTTTGATTTGATAGGTAGTATTCTTTGGCGACATTAAGCTGCTACTGTCCACTCTCTATTAACTCGATAATTGTAGCTGTGTTCTCCAATGTCATGGTCGTATAGTTCCCACGCTTTTTCGCACCACTTGGTTCTCCCTATGGTACAGATAGCGGAGCCATGGCGTCGAGCTCCAGCACATAAAATTCAATGCCGCAGATAGCCGCCGCGAAGCACACAATGTCTCGATACGACCCGACAGAACACGTGCTAAACGGCGACTGGAAGAAGCTGGCAAACTGCAAGGGCTGCGAAAAATAGTCTTTACTACGCCTCCTCCCCGTACTGTGCGATCACGGTAGTGCTGATCACTGTGCTGGACGGACGACGAAAAAATGGTCCCTGTGCCGCGTTTTCTATGGCAAACACAGCCTTGGAAACTTGAAATATGGCATTCGCTTTCCAATCTCGCAAGCAGGAAAGTCATTTCAAAACTAAGTCACCAGATATGTCAAGCCGGTGAAAATTCTAACATGGCGGCACCCTTAAAAGTTCGTGGCGCGGCTGAACACAGGCGATTTAGTCCAAAAAATCCAATTCTCAAGGGCGAATTCATCCGAAAAATTGGTCGTAAAAATGCATGAGCCGTATGGGAACCCTGAAGTTGCATTATTGAAGTCGGAAATATCCAACAAGTCTGAATTTTTGAAGTCCCAAAAATCGGACGGCGACTGTATAACAAAGTTGCGTCATAGATGAAAGTAACTTTGTTATATTCGATAATTTGTTTTATAGATATAGTTTTAACCGTATATCTACTATTGCAAGACTATTTTTTATTTACTTTGTTATAACCAATATTTTTATATCCGTCTTTCTAACGAGAGACGTTTGTCTCTCGTTAGAAAGGTTTATTTTTCACACTACATTCATGTAAGACTACTTTTCACTTCATTATAACCAATATTTTGTTATGTTCAGTTTCTTTATATCGAAGTCAATGTTACTGGGTGGAGCCAGTTGAGAAACTGAACAGGCTTGCCACAGAAATAACATGACTGCTCACCGTCTCCCAAAATATGGGGGCGCTGCGATTGTTTTGCGATCTGGTCACGTGACATGCTTTGCATGTTGTGTGTCGTATGCTCGTTGTCTCTTCCGCGTACCGTCTCCGAAAACTGGTGCTGCCTACTTGGAGCACTTCATATCTGAAAGAACTAAATTAGCGAGGTTCATATTGAAAGCTTCCCCGCTACAACCGCGGCATAAATGAAGGTGGACACAGCCTGGATCTCAGCACGAAGTTTGAGTGGTTCTCTTGGCCGCGTGCTGATGGTGCGGTGGACTGCATTCTGAGGCTGTTTTGATGGGACGAGTATGTGCTTGGGTAAAGAGTTTACGGCCTCTGGTGTATGCACTGAAATTTACTGATAAACATTTTGAACGATTGCACCTGCAGTAGATGGATTAGGCATTCTCTATATAAACAGGCCTATATTTGAAAGCGACAAAAAGCGCTACGAATGAAACACTCACAAACGTTTAAAGCTCGCACATATTTTTATTTCATGCATTGTTGTAGAATTTGCGCTGTGTCACGTTAGCTGTTCAGCTTGTCAGGACGAATAATGTGGTCATTTGTATTTTACGAGCTAACTCACTATTTTGGAGTTCCCAACACAGCAACGTGTGGCAGAAAAAAAAAATTGAGGTGCGTTCTGCTCATTGGCGGGCTGCATAGAAATTTTATTCCAAGCGATTCAACAAATTAAGTATTTCTAAGTTAATAGGTGAAGATTAGCTTAGAAGCATATGAATGTGGCTGGGAACACAGGATAACAAGAAAATATCAAGAAGCTCGGAGCAAATAATGAAAACTGGAACACAATCGACTTATAAAGATCGTTGCCATTAGAGCGCTCACATTCGAGTACCTAAATTCACACCCAAACATGTAGCTACTTTTTATGGGGAAATCCTGCTAGGGGATCTGATGCTGTGCAGATGTACATGTGACCAAATTACAGCACATAATTCACTGAGGTATGTGCATGTTGCTTGGGGGTAGTGTCAAAAAGAAACAAGTTTTCAAGATCCTTAATCATTTCCTTTTTTCACTTGATAGACTCTTGGGGGTAGCCCAACAAAGTGTGGCTTTCTCTGAGAACACTGCCCAATGCTTGATTCTCCAGCCCCTCCTAAACTTGACAGCTGCCTTTGAAGTTGGAATTGATGGACAGACACGACCATCAAAATCAGTACAGGCGCATGAAGCCTGGGTGTGGCGGAAAAAAGGCGCTGTGCAGTTTAAAATGGTAAAGTTGAGCTGCTGCTTTTTGGCACTTCCATGAATGCCGTAAGAGCGTCATGGCACATGTTTTCCTTTAGAGCTGCAACCACAGTTGAGTTTTTGTTTATTTTGACAGCTCTTTCAGTGGGAGCTGCACAACCGATTTGTTGAAGCTTAAGAAAAAAATACTTTCCTCCATGTTTCGCACACAATTAGGCATACACTAGTGAGTCTTTGACACTAGCAAACCTGTGTTCATGTCTGCAGCTTTCAGTGAGGGCGACTTCCCTGCTTTCAGCATTTCAGGCGGCTCTGTATTTGCATTCAAACTTTTCCGTGCACGTTGCGCATCTGAAAAATTGAGCTAACGGCAGCTTCCGTCACGACT